GCACTGGCGTCAGAGTAGTGACAACTGGTAGCACGAACAGGTTGAAATTTTACATCCAACTTCCCCAGCAGAGCACGCAAAAGCAAGGGGCAAGAGTCTGGATAGCAACAGTAGAGATGTGACTTGCAAAATTGATAACCAGATTGCAAGGCAGTACATGCATGGTTCTCCACTGTCCAAACCAGCTTGAAAGCACCTGATTTTGACCACGGAGGAATGACTTCATATGGAAAGGAGGTGTTCCAATGATGAAGGACCTGCATCACTAATGAGAACACTGTGACTCTGAAGGACCCCAGACGTTTGTTAGAAGCAGCTATTTTAATCTAGCAGACCTTAGGCTGTACTAGCATTGCAGGGAGAACAAGAGAAAAGGGAGGCAGATTGCAACGTTTGGAAGCAAATGCAGTAACTTGGGCCACTGTGCCTATACTCTCTTCTTCACACCTGAGAGCTGAGAGCAACCATGGAAGGATGTGAATTTATTCTCATACACATTGCTTCTTTCTCAAAGTAATCAAAACTGCAAGGTGATTGCTGGACAATGCGCTGAAGACAGCTGCATCTCAAACTTCTCAGCTTGTACATTTTATGGTTGCTTTCTCACGTAATAGTACAGACCAAATTATTGCTTTGGTTGCATTTTGGAAAGTAGTCTGAAATTTAACAACATCAAATATAAGTGTTTCCCTCTTACCTGCCCGTCACCAGACGGTTTGGCTTAGCCACTAGCAGATCCTCTATTCCAATAGACTCGATATCAGTAGTGATTTTTTCCCCTTCTGTCTCCATTTGTAGCATCCTCCATTTTGACAACATAAATCTCAGTGAGGAAGAAGACATCCCGAACTAAATGCTTCTATCATTCCTTTAAACTGATCATTTTTGCTTTGTGGAAGTAAGTGTCAACACGCAACTCTCCTAGTACTAAATATTGTTTACAACATCATCACCTACTGATTTCAACTGATTTTCCACTACTTGGAAGAGCCATCGAAGAGGAACAGATTTCTCATAAATGTAGTCATTAAAGAGTTCTGCAAGATCAAGGATATAAGTTATAAGTTATAATAAGTTATAATGTATTCCAATAATAGAAAATGTCCACCCTTACAGGGACTTCATTCTTCAATGTTCCAATTCTCTACGTCAGTAAAACAGCATCTAATTGTACAGTATACTTAAGACTGAAGAATCCAAAAAGACAGACAATTGCACCCTTTTAAAGGGGTAGGAACCACCTTTACCTTATTTAAGAATTCCCAAGCATGTCAGTCAATATTTTATCTTGGAAGATTTGTCTTACATCAGTGAGAGCCTCCATGCTTAAATCTGAGTCACACTCTAGAACCAGTCTTAGAATTGAATAAAGGGTGAGACTACAGAAATACAGAACAACTTCTGCTTCAAAAGCCTCAGGGTTAACGTCAGTTCATCTTATATAAAAATACCAGGAAGCTTATACTCCCTTCTGTTAAACAATGAAAGCTAATATTCTTAAGAACAACATGATCTAAAGAACATATATTTGGGTATTTAATAATGCTAGAATGATTGGTTTTCATTTCTTATTTCTATGCAGTGGCATACACCCTTCTAGTACCTTCAGCCTGAAAAATATTGAATTAAGCAGATTCACACATTGAAGTCCAGTAATTTTTAAACATGAAGTTCCATTTGAAGTATTGATTAGCAGCAGCATTAATTGAAGACAGAAGGGAAAACAATCACCAAGGGAATTTAGTATTGAGGTACAGGGCCACAGCAGGGGAGTCACAGAGAGAAGGAAAGTGAAACCTAGCCAGAAGCAGCTGGGTTGAGAAGCCTCAATATCAGCTGAAAACTTAATCTCATTTGAATAATTCACAATTCTTCTTGCTCATCCCATTTCACCACTCAGTAACACTTTATATTCCACAATGAGAAACATTCCTTTCTCCAAAGAGACAAATTCATTTCCAAGTCCATCTAGAAATCATGAGCAAAGTGTTTCATATTTAAAATAAATAAATAAATAAAATACCACAATTCCTTCCCTTCATTTCTCAACCCTTTCTCTCCTCTTCCTCTTTGTTTCCTCCTAAAACAAAATCCTTCATTCTTCTCTGTATTTAAATGAAGATTTCTCAGTAACAATAATGTCCAGTTTTCTTCTGGTCCTAAGTCTTAGCTGTCAAATGCCTACCAGGAGATAGAAATCTAAAAGCTAATAGTACAACCAAAATGTTGGCCCTCTGTATGTAAATATTACATTCTGGGATAAACTTTAGAGGAAATATTGAGAGGTGCAAATGAAAGTGACAACTCAACTTCTCTGGAAGTTCTAAGCAGAAGAAACTTTCTTGTCGGGAAGCTGCTTAAAAAGATTATTATTTTTTTGGCGGAACATAAGTTTTCTTGTAAAATTCAATGCCAGAATGTGAAAACAGGTTTAAGCTGATATGGGCGTCATCCTTCTGATTTTAGAAAGCTGTGGTTCTGGTGTTACCACTGATATTGCGGTTTTGCCAAACGATAGCAGATCGGAAATTTTTATGATTTCTATAATTTTCATAGATTCCTGCAAAAATGGTAAAGCAAGACACTGTTAGATGTTACTCTTGACAAGCTGCCCCTCAGGCAGCATGGATAGTCTGGGTCATCATGTGCAACTATTCCCTGAGGATAAAAAATTGGTATAGACATGGAGTAACAGAAATGACTCATCAATACTCAAAAATGCATGGGAGAAGAGTAGAGTGGTGATGACACCCATCTCCTCATAGAACTCACTAGTGAAGAGGTCAGAGGCATAAGGACAGGGAACTGCAGCCTTGAAAAACAACCTATTTTTATTATTTTCAAGCATAGCTATCTTATGTGGAGGTTAGTGAGGAAGGCTGCATTCTGCCTACATGGTTGGAGACTTCCAGCTTCCTCCACTATAAGGGTTACATGATTCATATGGCTTTTTGCAACACTATCGGATAGACAGTGCTGGGGTTCTTCTTGACATTTAAGTGTAGCTTCTGCCTGGTTAACTCCATTGTTGTGGAAATAGTAGCTATATCCAAGAAAGAAATTGATGTGGATTACTACAGTAAACATTATCAGACCTGGTCTGATCTGCAAATTAAAACAGGTAATCGAACTATTTTACACAGTTTGCTTCTAATTCTGACACAGATGGCACTTAAACAAGGATTCCAGCCTTGGCAGATTTCTTCAAAGTCAGTGCCAAGGCCAGGATAATCCTTTCTAGCAATTTTCTCCTTGATTTTTGAGCAACCAACTTCTGTATAACATAGAATTTGTTATCTGCTGTTCCCCTTCTACAGCCATGCATTGAACAAGCTTTGACAGGACACAAGACAGACCTTCAAATACTGAGCCAAGTGACACTAAAAGAGTCATGAATCCCTACTAGGTACAAAGCTCATTTCTTAACCCTTATCTTCAGGTGGGTGTATCACAAGGAAAAGAAAAATTAGTGATCCAATGAAAAAGAGAAACAAAAAGGAAAAGTAAAAATACCTTCCTTGAGGTACTTCTGACTCTCCAGCTCTTAAATTATGCCAAGTGTGGGATAATGTACAATGACTGTTTTTTAAAGCCAGCATTAATGAACAATGGTTGCTTTTTAAAGCTAGCATTCACTACAAAGAGGAAGATGAGCCAAACCCAGAAAACAGACCAAAAATAGTGCACATGGACATGTGTGTATGTTTCCTTACACAAAATCACTTTTCAGAAAGTTCTTTAGCCACAGCATTAGGCAAATAACCAATAGAGTCAACTCTGAAGAGAATGAAGACAAGCTTGCATTGGCCACTATGTTCTCTTCTCACACAAATCATAATGTTATCAGCACAGACAGGTTATAGGAGAAAGAGACACACCAGAAATCTCATAGCCTTAAAACGGATATTTTGTTAATTTATTGTAATGCAGATGATGAAAGGTCTTCAAAGCTGACAAGAGCTCATTAACATGGGCTTTCACACAAGACAGGAAAAAAAGGCACATGTTAAAAAAAAAAAATTGCATTTCTGGATCTAGACAAGCACTCCCATCGAGATTGTTAGGAGCTTGCATGTAGGTCGAGTTTAGCATATAGTGCAAAGACTTTGTAGTCAGATTATGAATTTTACCTATTATTTGCCCTTATAAACACGGGGGAAAAAAAAACCTTGAGTTTTGTTGGTTTTGTGTTTACATGTGTTTGGGCTTTTTTAGATTGCTCTTATAAGAGCATCTATTAAAAAAAAATAAATAAATGAGACAGAAGATAAAAGAACAGTATCCCAGTAAGGATCTATTGACAACTGATTGTTTATCCCAGGTAAAAACAAAAACCACATACTTGAGCAAGAAATAGTCTCCCAAGAGTTTGGAGAATTGTTCTTTCAAAATCATTATTTTTAACACTACTTCAGTTCCACAAGTTAAGTGCACATGGGAGATGCCTAGTTTTACTAGTTTTCTAAAATAATTCATTCAGAAGGAATACTACTTTTACTAATATTGGAGTCCTACACACTGAAATTTCAGATCAAACGTCTGACAACAGACATGCAGTCATTCATCACAGTTCTGCACTTTGGCTTTCTGAGGACTGTACTTTGGAATTCCTGTAGATTGAATAGCTGGCACAGAGAATTCAACATATAAGTAACACTATTTTCAGTGCTCCTTCAAAGAAAACCGGTACATATTTCTCCAGACCTGAGAAAACTTACAATCTTTTTATGTCATCTAAACAAAGAAGAAAAAAAGTTGTCATGCGTATTTTGGATATTAAAAAAAAAAAAAGTATCTTGCTACATACTGCCATTCAAATACCTCCAAGCTATGCTTTCCTCACCAGCAACTGACAAGGGGGGATGTACTTTGAACAGGAAAGATGCTGCACACTACATAAAAATTGTGAGAACTAAACATCAACAGGACAGAGGAAAAGAATCAGCTACCACAGCAGGCAAGTAAAAGCCAAAAAAAAAAAAAAATCAAAACCAACCTACCAATCCAATTATCCATCAGAGACTCTGCAGTTACTGCGGCTTTTACATGACTTGCAGCCTTTCTGATCAAGGGCCGTCACAGGACACCTAAGCAGTAAGAATTTCACATTTCAAACTTGGAATACTTATCAGCAATTTGCAGTTTTCAAGAAGACTGGGGATACTTGTTCCACATTTCTCCATTTTAAAAAACTGACACACAGTGAAGACATTTGGGGTAAGGGTTTTTTGTTAAATTGTCCTGTTCTTATAAGTAAACTAACCTTGATAACCTATCTCCATCTGCAGGAGGGAGCAGAATGACTTTGTTAAAGATCCCCCCTGCCCTTAACTCATCACCTGAAGTTATACATACAATTTCTCCTCTAAGCTTATAGTATAATGATGGAGATCTAGAAGGTTAGAAAAAAAAATTAATCTCATCGGTCTTATTAGAACAGTCTGTGCATTTTCACCACTGAATGAGGGGGAAAATCCCACCCACACTAGTGCCCCTAGTGTGCCTTCGCAGTTGGCAGTCTGAAGAGTAAGTAGCAAATCACTACCCTGTCTTTCTGTGTGAGGCTACATTTTGGGGTTTTTATTCCACAGCAGAAGGCATAACCCTTTAAGGAAACTGCAGGGAAACTAGGCAACCTTTCAATCCATTTATCAAATTTCCTGCTGTTTCTATTTCTGAACAAGCTTAAAAAATTATTTTGTACAAAGAAAATTAATCTATATCCAGAAGATATAGACCTGTTGGCAATTGCCAGGTCTGGTGTTAACACAGTACTTTGTTTAGCCTGGTGCCTTTCTGTTCCTTCCAGCACTGATATTGTGTAAAAAAACCCTAATAATGTTTAAAAAACATTTGATTTATTGTCATTTTCATCCTGGCATCCATACCTTCCAGAAGACATAAACAACAGTCAGTGCTGTGAAAATGTTTCCTGTAGTCATGTTAAGAGTCCTATAAAAAACATGTACAATACATACAGAAAAATGTAAGACCTTATAACAACTGTTCAGATGCCTCCATTGGCTAATTTTCAGTTTTAAAAAAACGCACGTTGGAAAAAAAGTAGGCTTAACTTGCTGTTTAGCAGTACCCCTGTTCTAAGTTGAACAAAGCAGGACACTGTACTTAGGTGAAAACCCAAATAAATATCGCTTATCTGATGCTCTGCAAAGAACAAAATTTACTTGCTTTCTAAAACTAAAACTGGGCACAGCAGAAAAGCTAGGAATCTCTCCAAAAAGTGTTACATAAGGCATTGTCAAACTTCACGTCACCTCCACAGGGCCGCAAGTTGCTATTTTCCCCCCATCCCCCGGTGCGCAGGGATTAATGATCTAAATGACACAGTTCTTGTACAGGAGGTGATAGCAGAAGCCTTCCCAAAGGGGAGCTTCCTGGGCAGAAGGCTTGCTGGGGACGCTGGCGGGGGATGGGGAAGCCACCCTGCTCGCCTCGGCGTCCCAGCCAAACTCCAGCTCTGCCCCGCGGGTCCCGTTCCGCCGGGCCGGCTCCCGGAGCAGGCTCGCCGCGGGCAGAGCGCTCACACCCCACGTCGCGACTCCCTCCCACCCGCCCGGCAGCGGACACCAGCCCCGGGCTCTCCCGGACGCCGGAGCGCAGCCCGCCTTCCTTACCCGGACCCGCTGCCCCCCGGCTGGAGCCCCCAGGAGCGGGAGCACATCCCGGCCGAGGAGAGCGGCGTGCGGCGCGGGGCCAGCGAGCGGACTGGCGAGGGGAGCGGGGTCCGAGCCGGGCGGGGTAACCTCCCTCGGCAGGGGGACGTGCCCCTTTGTGCCGGGAAGCGACACGCGCGCCTCCGCCCGAGCATCTCTTCAACTCCGGATCTGATGGGGATTAAAATCCAGGAGATAAAGCTGCCAGCCTGGCCCTCTGGACTTGGGTGCCCTCTCCCCTTCACGGGCTGCTGGAAGGGAGACACTCATCGATTGTTCCTTGCCCTCCCCCGCCCCTCGCCTCTAAAAGCAGCACAAGCTCAACGAGAAGGCTCTTACCTTCCCCGGGTGGCTCCCGGGCCGCCGGGACGGGCGCTCAGCGCCCGCTGCTCCGCGCAGGCAAGCGGTCCTTCCCCCTCCTCCGCTCCAGGCGGGCAGCTCCAGCTCCGTGCCCGCAACCCCGCGCTCCGGAGGTGTCAGCCAGCGGGCCACAGCCGGGGCGGCACTGGCGGCTCCACTCTCCGCGGGACGAGGAGCTGCTGACGGTGGAGGGAGGAGGAGGGCGGTGGGGAGGTCCCGACTCTTCCCGGGATGCGCCGCCGAGGTGGCCGCCTCCTCCGCCGCCCAGCTCAGCTCTCTCCGGGGCCTGCCCGCTCCGCGCTGTCCCGAGGTGCAGCCCGGCCCCGTCCGCCTGTCCGTCCCGCTCGCCTTCCCCCGCCCCTTTCGCCGGCGGCGAACCGCGCGGCGCACAGGCCCCGCCGGCGGCCAGGAGGACCCGTGGGCGACGGGGGATTCCGGCCCAGCCTCCTGTCCTCTCCCCGGGGCCTGGTGCACAGTCTCCGCGGGGAAAGGAGGCCCTGCCCCGGCCTGGCGAGCAGCTCTGGGAAGGTCACCGGCACCGTGGAGCCGAGCACGGAGGCTCCCTCCGGCACCGCCGCGGTCGTTGCTACTGCTGCCGGCCCGACATCAGCGACCGCTGGGTGCCGCGCTCCGCCCGGGCTCGCTCCGTGCCCGTGCCTGGCGGCCGCCTCCGACTCTGAGTGCCAGGCTGCCCCCTTCCCCTTCCTTCCTTCCTTGCCTCCCGCCCCTTCCCCGCTGCCAGCCTTCCCCCGCCGGCTCCCTCCGGCGCCCGGTGCCAGGCTGCCCCCTGCGGGTCTCGGGGCCGCGGCTACACGCCCGGCGGGGCCGAGGAGGAGCCGGGCGCGGGGGCGGCCGCCGCTGCCGGTCCGCGAGTGCCGGGAGCCGTGTGCCCGCTGCCGCCGCGCTGCCCCGGGCTGGCTCAGCGGCGGCTGCAGCGACTGTGTGTCTGTGTCATGTCTGTGCCTGGGCGGGCGGAGGCGCGGGGCCGAGGCGGGGCCATCCCGCTCACACGCCGCCCAGCGACAGGCGCACAGCGCCCAACCAGCGGCGGCCGCCGGCGCGCACCGCCCGCCCGCGCCGCGGGGCGCCCCGGGCCGCTACACCTGGGCAGGGCGGAGGGGGCCGGGACGGGCTGCCCGCGCCCCTGCGCTCTCACAGCCGTCCCGCCGGGGGGGCTGCTGGGGCACAGCCGGCCCCGCACGGGGACCGCGCCCCGCCCCCGCCGCTCCCCGCCCGCCCAGCGGTCCCGAGCACCGGCCTGGCGCGGGGAAGTGCGGGGCGGCCCGGCCCGGCCCCCGCCTCGGGCGCTGGTGCCCGTCGGGGGGACGAGGCGGCGCCTGGCCTTCAGCGTGAGCGCCCGGAGGGGGAAGACCCGACTCCGACCGGCGAAACCGCGTCAGGAATGAATAAATATCACGGCTTTTGGCTTAAGTGTGGCGGAGCGTGTCCCTGCGATGTGTCCCTGCGTGCTGGCAGCTGCCGAGAGTGAAGTGATAAGCGCACCTTATTTTTGCTTTTCTTTTTTATAATTTTTTTTTAATTTTGTTTTTCCCCTGTGGGTATAGAGCAACCATCAACGCGCTTTTTTTTCCCCGTTATTGTTATTAATCATTTTTATTTCACTTCATTAGCGGTGTAAAAATGGATTGTTGCAATATGTTAGCATACTAAGAGGACCATATGATAACCTGTGCGTATGTTTGGAGAGGGTGCATGAAATTCCAAGAGGAGTGTGCAAGGAGAACAGAAATGAGCAAATGTGCGTACAGTCTGACTCTAGAAATGCACTGATCTGTTCTTAGAATGGAAGAGGAAGCAAAGTATACACGTGCTTTGAGTAACAATGTAAATAATCAGAAGTATGAATAATAGGGTTAGTAATCAGTATTTACTGTTTTCTTCTGCTAGGGGACTAAGGGAATAGCTTAAGAGAAAAGTGTTGTTCTTTAGAAGATACCACAGATGCTAATTTCTCCCATTACATCAACTGCTTAAATGCTATAAGTCATGCAGAAGTTGCTTTATTGTGGGCAGAAATTATGCTTTTCAATATACTGTATGAAAATATTGTGAACTATTGAACAGGTTGTTCAAAGCATGGTAGTATTTGCTAGACTTGATTAAAGTGTTGGACCATCAAGCTTAGTATTCTGCTGCCAGCAGCATCCACTTCCTGATGCTTTAATCAAGAGTGGTATCGGATGAACTGAAGTAAATCACAAAGTTGAACATGCCAGTGATGTAATGTAAGTGTTACTAACTGCAAATTTTGACATATTGTGACAACTAGGAGAGCATTTTGCAGAAAAAAAATAGCTCTGCTTATCTGTAAAAATAATTTAGTTCTGATATGAAGAATTTTCTGGAGAAGCTGCAGTAACATACAGGTTGGTCTCTATTGTGCTTGTTTTTTTCATGAGCAAATCAAAGTCAGAAATGAGCTATACTAAACTAACTAATTCTCTCCTTTCTCTTAAGTGAAGCTATAGGATCAGCCTTCAAGTAATAATGTTTTCTTGCGCTGTTGAAGGATTGCAACTGCTTTGGTGACAGTCACAATGAACGAATTGCTGGGGAAGTATGGAGGAGGAAATAGGATTGTGTGTATATAGCTTCATTATTAATAAAACTCGATTATCTACTGCCTGTTATTGGAATTCTCTGCAGTTCCACATTCTTTAGTTTCATGCTATATCTTGAAAACTAATAAGTTGTCAAAGTCTGATCCTACAAAATATTGAACAATTTCTTCAGGTTCTTAATGTTCTTATCTTCTGTTCGAGCAGGGAACTCTCAGCACCCACAAAAAGTCTTAGGTTTTAAGAGCAGCATGGATTATTAGGATTACCTAATGTGCCACCGTGCATGACAAATGATGGAACTTCACGTGGAAATAAAATGTCTTGCTTAAAATTGCTCTGCATCCTTCAGGTTGGTGACCTGCTCAGAAATGGACAACAGTTGTCCAAACCCAGAGAATGTTTGTCAGAGACTCTAGCTGAGAATGGTTACCACCAGATTATAAAACCTAACAAGGACAGGAGGAGTGACTACCTCTGAAGATAGAGTTTTTCAGAAATTGTGTTTATAAGCAAGTAATCTTTTTCATATCCATAATAAAAATTGCTCTATCAGTCTTTGTCCTTGAAAATCCTGAAGTGGCGATTGCTTTGGACATAAACAAGCAACGCAGAAGGATACTTATGCCAAGGACAGGTAGAAGAAACTAGATGCAAATATTTGCACTTCAGATTTCATTCAGCTAGGAGGAAGGTTTCTCTAGAAACTACACAGGTTCTGGAGGGAGGTGTCTATTTGCATTTTAAAGAAAACAAAAAAGCAAAACCTATAGAAATGTGAAGCATATAGGGTTTGTTTTTTTAAAAAAAGATCATTTCATAAGGTCAAAAAAACTTAAAGTTTTAACAGTCCTATTTAAAAATTTTGTAAACCAGACCCTTCATTTTTTAATAGAAACATGTCAATGTTGAGATATTGTTACATGATAGAGTTATACTGATGTAAAATCATCACATAAATATTTGGTCTCATTTTTTCCTTACTGGAACAAAAGATAAAGGCATAACAGTACACAACTTCAAACAGGTTATGGTATTTTCACTACCCCAGAACATCAGTAAGTAAAATAGTATTAAGTCTGTTTACAAGATCCCAAACACTTGCAGATTTATGTGGGTTTTGTTGAAAAGAACAAAATTACTTCCAATATAACCATTTGATATGAAAGGGAGGTGTAAGGCCCACAAGGATTCAAGCTTACTGCATGAAGTTAATCTGATGTTTAACACCAGTGAAGTCCTTTTTACGTTCTTACAGTTGTTTCATTTTTCTAGCTGAATTCAACCACCATGAGGTCTTTCAAGAAAAAAGGACAGTGCTTTGTTCAGGAGGTGACCAAAAAGTGCATTACTACTCTAATAGTGTGTTATGTGCCAGCTGAAATAGAAGCTAGAACATTCCTGAAAAACAGGAAAGTGGTCTCTCCCCGTTCCTGCACACGCAGTCCTGTGGTTATTCAGCATTTTAAATACCTTGTGAGGTAGATGCTGCCGTGTCACACTCAAGATATGGGATACACATGGACAAAGCTACGTTCTCCATTGCCTTCTTTCATGTGGAGTTGATGAAATAGCTGCTTTTCATAAAATCAACCATTCAGGGTGTTCTCACGGGGAACAGAAATTCAAATCTGATTTAGCAGACTGGCTGGATTGTGTTAACTGATCCACAGAAGGTTGTGATTCTGTTTATGAATTGCTGCTCTTCTAGATGCTAAATTGCTCAACTGTTAATAGTATCAGAGCATAAAAAGCAAGACCAAAAGTCTGAAGCAAGCCCTAACCCTTGAGATTCTTGTTATCATCTGCCTTTACAATAAATACAGGACTACTGCAGAACAGGCTGCCTGACATATTTTGTAGTAGAAAAAGGCTTTCAAACAAGAAGTAAAATTTAATCTACTCTGGAAAAATAAATTCCCAGTTCTTGAGCATAGAGTGGAAGCTCTGTTACATATGCTGTCCACAATGGGCAGTAAATTAAAATTTAATGGAGATTTTCCTGTGCATGTATCAGAAAAAAGAAAAATCAACAAAACCCAAGAAAGTCAGAGCAAGATTCAGATTCCATGGGGTTATAGAAACTGGAAACAAAATAAAGACTGGTAAACTGAGTGCCTTTAAATAAGTAGAAAACATCATGAAAACCTATAACTTTACAAATGCAAAGGAAATCTAGTTTTTATTACAGAAATTATTTCTCTTCTATACCAAAATAGATTTCAGGCAATAGACTGATTTCCTATGTTGACTTTTTTCATTTTCATAGTGGTTTCTCCCAGAGTTCAGTTTACTTCTAGCTGTAAAAAGGTAAACATCCATACTAAAGTCTTAGGTAGTATTATGCCCTATAACAAGGAAAATGTTAATGAAAGGGGTATTTTCCTGTTTGTTTACTTTGTATCTCTGACAGAACTCTGTGGATTTTTTTTTCATTGCTGTTATTTACTACTTTCCATTTGTTGTGATTCAGTCATTTAGAGAATAGTTGAGGGGGGGTTGTTTGTTTATTTGGACAATAAAAACTAGTGAAGATATGCAGAATAAATATGATGCAACTTTATTTTATGAAGTTAATCTGATTTCAGGTTGATAGTACTTTTTTAAGTTTGGGCCTACCATGGTCAAGTCAATATTGTATTTCTACTTATAGACAAAATTGATTTCTATTTTGCTAGTGTGACATACATAACTTAGAAAAGACTTAATTTCGTACTTGATAATATCAGTGCCAGTGTTTCCAGAGC